CTCATCAGGCGGGTCATGGGGGTTAGGAAATCCAGTGTACATAGGGAAGCTCTCTGAATAAATCCCCTCACGAATTGCTGTGAAAGTAATTGGCGTTTTGTCCGACCTCTCTGTTGACCCTGACTCAAGCGACTTGAGATATGACTCCGTCTTCAAGTGCGCTTGCATGACATGGGCGACGGAATCCGGAGTGCAGTCGCCGCCGAATGCGAGAGACGTGTAACAAACATGAGATACACCGCTGCGGTGTGCGGCGTCAATGGCTACTTTGTGGACCTAATTCGATCAGCGCCATCCTTGTTGATGACGCAGGAAATCCTCCGTGAACAAGACTGCAAAAAAGAATAGACGTACTTTGAATCTATGGTCACTCTCGATACTCGGATACGAAATGAGAATCAGACACGCTACACCATCGAAAGCATGTTCCAACGAATCAGTATCATTATAATCCGCTTTCCTCGTACAAACGCCTGCTTCCACCATGTGGGAAGGGATTTTCTCGGGATAGCGAGATATCAAAAGAAGCTCCTTTGGAGGAAGCAGTTTGAACAGGTGGGTGTAGATACTCGAACCGATCTTGCCTGAGGCAGGAAAGACTGCGACTTTGGCCATGGTTCCGACGAGAGATTGAAGCCGGATGAACAGGAGCAATTGGAAGCCATGCTCACTTGCGATTTTATACTTCAAGCCGGCGAAGAGAGCGTCTCTGACGTAAGGTAGAGAAAAAGCACCCCTGTCCACTCAGCCCTACAAGTATCCATCAATTCCTTATCGATAAGCCCTACTTATTTTACCCTCCAGAAAATCCCACATCCCCAAATCAACAAAGCCCAACCCAACCCGACTCCCAATCCTCCTACCCCACCTCGCCGCCTAAATGACCCTCACCCCAATCCCCCAACCCCTCACCTTCCCCGCCCTCACCTTCGCCAAACTCGCCCCCCCCTCCTTCCTCGCCGCCCACCTCACCAACCCAAAGGGCTCGACTCGACCCTCCGGCCGCACCCCGACGCAGACGCGCGCCCCGACGTGCAATACCGGCAGCCTGAGCCACGCGAACGGCAGCGCGGTGGTCAGATGCGGGGATACGGCCGTGGTGTGCGGGGTGCGGGGGGAGATTTTGAAGACGGGGGATGTTGCGGAGTATGAGGCGAGAGAGGTGAAGGGTGGGGATGAGGAGGAGGAGGATGATGAGGGGGATGAGGATGACGAGGGGGGGAAAGAACGCAGGAGGAAGAGCAGACGAGACGACACGGCCGAGATGGCGCGATTGAACCTCCTAGTTCCAAACATCGAACTGGCAACCGGCTGCTCGCCCGCCCATCTACCCGGCGGTCCGCCCTCGGTGCTTGCGCAGACGCTGACGCAGCGCGTCTTGACTCTCTTACATACGAGCGATATGGTCGGCATGGCGCCTTTGAGGATCTGGTTTCAGCCGCCAAGGGAAACTACGGGCGCTACGTCTGGAGTTATGAGGATGGGCGGGGACATGGAAGAGATGGACGCGAGAGAAGAGGAAGGAGAGGAGATGGCAAGGGCGGAGGTTAAAGCGTTTTGGGTCCTCTACGTTGACGTGCTGTTTATATCGCTAGACGGCAACGCCTTTGACGCGGCGTGGTTGGCTATATTGGCTGCGTTGAAAGATACGATTCTGCCGCGGGCGTGGTGGGATGCGGATCGGGAGATGGTGCTTTGCTCTGATGATCCGGTGGAGGCGAGGAGACTGGAGATACGGGATTTGCCCGTCCCACTTAGTTTTGGGGTGTTTGAGGGCGATGGGCTGGGCAAGGGGTCGAAAGAGAAAGAGAAAGAGAAAGAGAAGGGGAAAGAGAAATGGGTACTGGTTGATATGGATGGGTTTGAGGAGGCGTTGTGTAGGGAGGAGGGGACGGTTGTTGTTGGGGGAGGTCGGAGGGTGGTTCGGATCGAGAAGAGTGGGGGAGCGGGTGCTGGCATGGCAGAGATGAGGGGGTTGGTTGACTTGGCGGCGAAGAGGAGAAAGGAGTGGATGGGGGTGTTGGGGGTTCATTGAGAAAAGGCATTTATGGAGGCTACTTCGCATGCATGCATAGCGTTGAAGTTCGAGCCGATCTGCAGCAAAGTTGTCTTGCATTCAATGCCCTAGGCTATCTGAAAAGCTGGGCATCTAATGCTGATCTACCACCAATTGATTAACATCTTCCACCATTTCCTGATTCAAGACCGATATTCAAGACTCCGATGCTATGCAAAGCGAAGATTCCGATCCAATGCTCGTACTTGCTAACACATCGTGTGGTGTGTTCCTAGCACTCTAATACGACTACCCTGGATACCGAAGAGCGGTCTCGAGCGACGGGCAGAGCAGAAGCTTGTCACTGCATTTTCAATAGGTCTCTCCGAGCCTATCGTCGTCGCTGCCTTTGACCTTCGCCTGAACACGAGTCCTATGCCCAACGTGTGCTGACGAGGTTGTCTGCTCTGGATTCGATGCGGTTTTTGAAGATTTCGCTGGTGCCGCCTCGGGAAGGTTGACCGAGATGAAGATGAGCTCGCTGTTGCGTTCTCGATCGAAGACCCCCTTTGCCTCGTCTTCTTTACGGCCTTCATCACTGGCGTTGCTATTCTTGGACTCTTGCGACTCCTCGTCACTTGATTGGGTTCTCGTAGACCCGCCATGGCTTGATCCGTATTCCTTGCCGATTGGACCACTAGCGTCGTTGTCCTTGACAGGTTCGCTTGGCTTTCCGGACTCGTTCGAAGTCCTCTGAGAAAAGAACAAGCTCTTCCAGTCAACGTCTATCCAAGAGTCTGATTTCCAAGCGCTATGTTGCTTGTCGTCTTTGCTTGGCGAATTGTGCTCTTGGTCGTCTTCAGATTCGTCGAATGCCCACAGCGCCTTGATGTCGCCCTTGACAAGAGCAGTGCCCCACAAGGAGCCCAGGACACCAGGGACGAGGTACAGCAGAGCAGGTTGGGCTTGGCCGTAAATATGCATGACGCCAAGGGTGCATAACAAGCTGACAACATAGCCGATGACGCTTGCGTGAAAATACGTTTTGGGGAAGAGGACACCTTGGAATTGCTTTGATCTGAGGATGTCGTTCTTCGAAGTCCAAAAGCGCTCGCCCCAGCCACCTCTTGCAGGATGCCATGTGGCCTTTGTGACCTCGGAACCGACGGCCTCCTTGCTCGCTGGGTCAGTTGCAGCGTCCTCAGTGCTCTTCGAATGTCCGATGGTCCGTAGGGTTTGCTTGCGCAAGTAGAAGAGGTAGAGATCAAATCGCAACGCAAAGCCAATCATCATGCCAGGCAGAATGATGTCTCCCAGCCCAAGCATAAACAAAGCTTGTTTCGTCGGGTCTTCAGTAGGTCTCCTTGGCCTAGGAAAGACGAGCTTGGCTGGAATATCGAGCTGAGTAGCTACGGTGACCATGAGAGGCGTGAAGAAGACGAAATAGATGTCATAGACGAAAAGAGCAACCAGTATCAGCGTGCCTGTCCAGGAGGTTGTTGGTGACATGATCTGGAGAGTGGTGTAGGCGAAGGCAAAACCGAGAAGATTTGTCAGCCACCATGGCCTGTCTATGAGGTTGAAATAGAGCAGAGCCCCGATTGCAAGGAAGAGGCTGGCGACGCCCTGAGGACCTATCTTGAACTGTGCTTGCACGATCTTGTGAATGTAGACGCGTACGTCAAGCTGTCGTGACGGTAGCTCCCGAAGGATCCACATAGCATCTGTGAACTTAGATGGCAAAGGCGGAACGGAAGATGGTTCAGGCACTGGTGAGTTTCGATCCACCACAGGGGACGACCTTGACTTGGATTTTCTCTGCTTGGCATCAATTTCCCAGATTCTGCCGTCCATGTCGTAGGTCTCGGGAAAAACGAATGATGTGAAGATACCCATGCTGTCCGTGATCATTCGAGCCAAAGACCAGACTCCGAAGATTGCGAAATACCAATTTAAGATCTTGTTCAGTATCGCTGGATCATCGAGCCATTTGATGAGAAAGTATAGACTTGCAAGGCTAACCCCGGCAAACAAAGGTAGAAGAAGAGCGTCAATAGGAGCAAGCCCTTCCCTCGTCAGTCCTTGCTCATCTGGTCCGTCATCATGATCATCTTGCTTCTTCGTCTTCTTTGATGGCTTGGCTGCGGATGACGGGCGAGAAAGCGAAGCATGGGCACCGGCGTAAATAGGGAAAAGAGCAGAGACAAGTAGATGAAGATGGACTATCAGATACGGGTAGCCCGTAACAGTGTGGTAGCCTACAGCCTGTAGGAAATAGGCGAGCTGATCCATCGTTGGCAACATCTTGCTTCAGTTGTAAGATTCTAGCATCCCAGGAAGGCGTGACTGTGGCTATTGCTCTAGGATGGTGGACCCAGTTCGTGCTGAGGCGAGGTTGCAAGAATAGAGAGTCTCAGCTTCTCATCTCTAGAGTACAACGGCATGGTGCAGGCTCTGAAACTGGGTTTGTTTGTTGGTGACTTTTCCCAAGTCGAAATAGACGCGCTGCGCTAGGCTCGATCCAGACGTAGGGCTGAGCTAGCTGCTGCTTTTACCCGTTGCTCAGGTATTTGAGTGATTGATCAAAACAATACTACTACTAGGGCAATGTTTCCATTGGAAGGACGCATGAACCGGGTGTAATAGGATTTGTTCTTTCGATATGCTCAATGGCAACGACGAGGCTACTGTGGTAGGATTACTAAGATCCTGGACCAAGCATTGAATGCGGTGCGAGTCCTCATTTTTCAGATACCGATTCTGGCATGCATCTAAACATTCCCTTTCGAAGCCTAAGTAAGGGGAGTTCGAAAACTAATATGGGTTTCTACCGTTGCGGCAGTCGGCCATTAGCATGTTCTTTGAGAGTACACTGTGTCCTTGCGCTGCGAAGACATGCCACTTTCTCCGTAAAGTATCTTGAAGTTGGGCTACTTGATTCTATCAAGCCCACACAGTGCGTTCGTTGATAGCAGTTGGATTTTTCTTTGTGGTAAGGCAGTCGCTACTTGTTCTTCTCCCTTTCTTCCATCATATTTTCCACTTCAGTCTGGAAATGGTTCTTGAAGTCCCGGTCGCTCTTACGGGGCTTCCAACCCAGACTTCGACTAAGCTCTGACTCTGTCCGTGAACTTTGCGCAGAGATCAGCTGTCAATGTTGAGTTCTCGAAATGACAGCACACTTACTTCGATGCAAAACCCAGTTCTGCAAGCAGAGTATCTCCGCCGGCCCATCTCTCTGCTGCTTCTTCTAGATTGATACTTTTCACTTCTTCCGTCTTGCTTATACCAAGCGTGAACAGCGCATCAGCCAGCCCCTGAGACAGCTCGAGCCAAGTGTGGTGACCGTTGGCCGAGAAGTAGATCCCCTTCTCGCCATTGGGCAGATCCTCCCCAGCGAGAAGCTTTTGCACGACAATTTCATATAAGTTCGCCAAATCGCCAACATGCACATGGTCCCAGCTCGCCTTACCCGAACCGACTACTTCGGCCTGCTGCGTCTTGAGCGCCGCTTGAATCATGGCTGGTACTTGAATCGACTGCTGATGGAAATGGCCTGTGCCAATGCCATAGATCAGGGGAGACATGATGATGTAAGTCTTAACGCCCACTTTCAAGCCAGTCCCAATTACCGTGAGGTCAGTCTGTCGCTGACCGTATGGCTGTTTCTCGTTGCGCATCTTTTCGTAGGAATAGATGTCTTCTTTGTCGGAGAAGACACGGGTTTCGGTGTATTTGCCGGTGATTGGCTGATCGCCCAAGTTGGATGTGCCCGATGTCTGTTGGAGATCCTGTCAGTCCGGCGTCGCTTCTGTATTCAAGCGGTGGCGTACGTGGATATAGTACACATCCTTCCCCGTGCTCTTCTTCCTTTCTGCTAGCCCCAATATCAGAGCTTTTGCGGATCCTTCATGATAGCCAGAGGCTGTATGGATGACCACTGGGTTGGCTTATTAACGTCATAATTCCTAAAGACGAGGATGCTGGGGAGGCTGCATACTGTCATAACCGCCCGCTATCTTTTCGATCTCGTCACTCGCATCGAGATCACTGAAAAGCTCGACATTTACTCCTTTCTCGGAAAGTACTTTAGCTTTTGCCTCTCCTCGGACCAGACCTGAGATGCTGGACTTTCGTAAGGAGTTGTTTTGGGAATTGACTAGATCGGATAGTATGGTGCCTCCACTGCATAGAAGGACTCGGTCATCAGCTGGTCGTAGTTGATTGTGGGTATATCTGTCACCTACATATACCCAGTCGCACCCGTCACAAGAATCTTGAAGCCGGTCATACCGAAATTGTACGTGGACGCTTATGGGCTGAACGTCAGACTTGGAATTGAGGTTAGATATAATTTCACGTATTTAGTAAAGTGGATTAATTCGTTTTCCTCAACAACGCATGAGCTGTCTATGAGATATGAGTTTTCTTTCTTTTTTCTTTCTACAACACGTCGAGGAAGTCCAAAAGGCTGCTCATCCCTCTTGCTCCGTCATGACGCAATCCCACATCCGACCTTCTAGACTCCTCTTCCGTTAGCTCGTCCACTTAATTCCCACTGCAAAAGTTTTAATTAAAGCTGCCAAAAATGATAGGCTTCAGTATAAGCACACTGATTACGTTTCGCATTCCAACGAGATGGTAGTTGCATGCAAAGGTCGCCCGGCTACCCCAAGAGCCTATCTGGTGATGATCCATGCTCACGTTCAACAGGAGTTTGAGACTTCTTTTCAGTAAAATTACATGACTTGACTGACAAGAACACATAAAATTTATCTTGTCATGGCCGATAGGAATTTCTCACACCAATGACCGCCATCAGCGGTGGGGGCTATGCAGTCGCCAAAGTCTCCAGGCCGAAGAAAGGCTCATGCATATTCTCCCACTCATGAAAACCTTCATATACATCGTATGTGACATGCTGTGCTTTCTTCTGCACCACATCCGCATATTCCAGAACATCAAAAACGTTTTCCTTTAGTTCGTCCAACAACATTCCACCTTGTGAGACCCCTACCAACCATCATATGATCCAACAAATTCCCCTCATATCCCACCCAGCAGCCCCTACCGCCCCCTAAATCTTCAAACAGCCAGCCCCTTACCCATCCCACTCAAAGGACCACCTCCGCAACTGCAACCCCGAAGAACACAGAACCGGCAAATCCATCATCCAGCACACCATCTCAGACCAAGGCTCAAACAACGCATCCGTCCGCGCGGCCATCGACGCCGCTAACCACCATCGCAACTTCACAATCCGCGCGCACGACGTCCGGCTCGCGATCCTGACGCGATCCAATCTCTTTGTGGAAGCGCGCACCGACGGACATAGGATTTTCCCTGACTTCTCAACCACCACCACCACCGTGACAGATAACGTTGTTTGCCTCATCGTCGTAACGCGCACGCTGCAGCACTGTTCATCATACACACTGCGCGCGATATGCGGCATCCCGTACGTCCGTGACGCTGCAGCAGACTGGCGGCGTTGTATCATGGCGCGGCTTACTAAGTTGGCGATGGAGTCGAAACACAACATGAATTCCTTGCGCCGGTCTTTCTCTCGCTCGGTCACTGCGATTCGATGATGCAGAAAATGAGCAGGTGTGACAAAACAAAACAAAACAAAACATCGTGCACGGGTTTCGTAGAGGCGGTGGGCGCATTCAGCGTTCGTTTTGGCTCCGAATGTTTTCGTTTCTGGGAGGGAGAGCAAGGGCCCGACCGGATGGATTGACATGGCAAGGCGATTTATGATAAGCCTTAGCGACGGACTGCATTCACTCGGATGGGTTGCAGTGCTATTACATCGACATGAATGACGTCCCGTCCGGGTGGAAGGGCGGCTGTTCCGCTGAATGGGGATGAAAACGGGAACGAGTATCGGGCAAGGATGATGGCTGGATTGGGAGGGATGAGGAATCGGAGTAGTGGAGAGCCGACTGGGGGCGGGGTTGTAGGAGGAAATACGCTGGGGCCGGAGGTCGGGTGGTCCGAGAGTGAGAAGATGGAGGGGGTTTTGAAGGAGTGGGCAGGCAGGAAAACATAGGAGAGAAGTCCTTTGGGAAGATCGGGAAAGGGGACTGCCAAGATATGATTGCTCTTGTTTCTGAGAGCCCATGTGTAGTGTTGAGTCCAAAATCATTTGCCGGCATTGTTTGTCTTTTGTCTTTTGGGTTCAGGTGTTCAGTCTCCGTTGCGGGCACCGAGTATTGACTTCGCCACTGTGGTCTCAACACCCTCTCTCTATCCTCGAATCTTTCTTGCTTATTGCTAGAATACTACTGCCAGAATTCCGCACCCCAAGATGGGTTACTCGAAAGCATCAGATACCGAGCGTGTACCGAGTGCGGACAGCTTCTCAATCGCGTCAGATGAAAAGGGAAGCACACGATGACACCAAGCTGACGGATCACGAAGACTAACGCTCCTCAGTTCCCCCTTTCAGATGACGGCAGCGAGAGTCAAAGGAACTCAGCTTTCCGATTCCTGGACCTTCCACAGGAGCTTCGTGATAAAGTATACAAAGGCCTGCTCTGTCCACACGTAGATGGGACTCGACACCGGTGTCACGAGAAGATTCGAGACTACGGTCTGGAGCCCGCCGTCCTGCGCACATGCAAGCAGGGTTGCCACGAAGCTTGGAGGGTCCTGTACACCGAGAACGGCACCGTCTTGATTCGGATGGACGCACAGGTATACCACATCTTCCGGACGGCCCGATCGCAGGCCCGTCCGGCGTTCCCAGAAGTGTACCCGATCGCGAGAGTCGAATGCGGGAATGTTGGAGGTGTGCCCGTGTTGACAGTGGAGATCTCCGTACTTCGGAAATATCAGGCGAAGGGCAACTTTGTGCCAGGCGATCAAGTTGTGTTCGTCGGACTTTTGTCGGCTCTGCCCAAAATGTGCGTATTCCTTACCGCTTGTTGGAGTGCAGGTATACTGAAGCTTGTGGTCCACATGGAGAGACCCATCGGAAGGCGTCCAGAGACTCGTCTACAGATGCTATCAGACTGTCTCGAATGCCTTTCCGAAGGGCGGGGACCCGGGCGTGCGATCATCCTCACAGAGCCTCAGCACAGCGCTACCGCAGCAAAGGTTGCGAAACTCATGAAGATAGACATGGTAACTTTCGAAGACGTCTCCCGTATAACATGTGCGTATGAAGCGCGTGTCTTGAGACACTTGAAGGACAAGAGGTCTCCAAAACGCCTTAGATTTCTTTGATTTGCCGCAGTACAGGCTTCGTGCCTCAAGATTGATCGGTGCAACAGACAAAAGGAGGCACGAGCTCGAAGTCAAGATGATAGATATACAGTGGAACTATGTTACTTGCTGCCTCAAGGCGGGGAGAACGGGCGACGTGCATCATCAAGTCCGCCAAATGTTTCGGTACTGCTCACCGCAAAACCGAACTTCGGCCCAACAAGAAGGTTACTGGGGTCGGGTAGCAGACGCTCACTACGCCATTGGCAAGGCATACGTAATCGATGGAGCTCTCAATTTCGCCGTTTATAGCTTTCTGCAAGCCTGACTCACAGCGCCCGGACACACCGAAGCTGACCAGGCTGTTGACCACGTAGAGGAACGGGTGAATTCCAGCTCAAAGCCGGAAGATGTGATTGTCAAGTTGAATATCAAGTGGGTACTGAAAGAGGTCCGACACCGAGTGCCTGATCTTTACCGCTTGACCGAGGACCAAGAAAAGGATCTCGTCAGAGGCTTTCTAGCCACGTACGGGGAGATTCAGGGTTTGCTGTGCGACAAGGGTAGGTACACTTTGGATCCTGGTTTATGAAAATATTTGGTCTAATTATCGGTAGATTGGCATCAGCATCATGGAGCCCTCATGTGCCCTGCCATATCCCGAGGATGACAACTGAAGCCCGGACACTGCAGGTAGAAAACACGCGAGGCATGTGCACACTTTATGCTCAAACCTGACATGTCTGCGTTTCAATATCGATGATGGTGTCCAGGCCTGAAGTCTGGTTGCTCTCGCCATGAGATTAAGAGCGCCAAAGCAACCATGCCACCATGCGATGTATCATCCCTGATCTCACCATTGGCTGTAGTTAGTCTGGCAACACGTTCACTGGTAGAATCTGTTTCAATCATACCAGCCATAGCCAGATGCGTGTTGAAAGGCTTGCAGGATCGAAGGCTCAGATCGAAGGCGTCAAGGTATCCTCACATGACGGTTCGTCTCCTACAGCTTGTTGGTCACGCTTCCCTCTGTCCGCAGAACATCGATTTTCCGTTCGAAAATCGTCGTCTCTCAATCGCCAGTGTCGGTGGATGCAGTCCTGTGAACTTGAGAGTATTCTTAGGGTACCGCAAGGGTATCCCTACCCCCAAGCTCGCTCACCCATGTCCAAACCCCTCCTTTCCCATTACCCCCCTATCCCCGTCTTCCTCCTTACCTCCTCCTCTGCCAATTACAACTCCCTCCCACACCCCCGCAACACCAACCCAGTCCCCCACCCCAACCCTCCTCCTCACAACCCTCGCCCCACTGGGCTTCAATTTCCGATAGTACTCCTTCACAACCTCCTCTCCCACCTCGAACCCCCTCTTGACATACCACTCTAGCGCCTCCTCATTTGCTTCCCAAACATGTGCGTAGATCTCTCTGACGTTTATATTCTGCCGTGGGTAGTGGGTGAGAGCTGTAGATATGATGGCGTCGAGAAGGGCGGTGGCGAGACCAAGGGAACGGTAGGGAGAGAGGATGGCGAGAGTCTGAATGTAGAGGTTGTGCGATTGCTGCTGGGGTGGTGGCGGTTGGGCGGTTGAGGTGGTAGGTGGGGTGATAGGTGGCGGACAAGGGAGGGGTTCGAGGCGGCATTGAATGCCTCCTATAACCTTGGCTTCTGGCCCACCAGCCGCAGGTACGGATGAGGGCAGTTCATCATTGAGGGAGTCCCTTTTCCGCTTACCAGGTCGCGATGTTTCGTTCCATAAAGCGCAGAGGGCGAGGGAGGAGGGCGTAGGGTTGGCAATGGAATCTTTGTAGAACTTGTCCGCGTAGCGTATCGGGAGTAAGAGGGTTATGAGTCTGCGGTAGGCAGGGAGAGTTGAGACGGTGATAGGAATGATGGAGAGCTCTGCCGGAAGCGGCCTCTGAGGGCTGTGGTTGGTTCCTGGCTTTGCAGGGATGGAGGTGGAGAGAGGGTAGGGATGAAGTGCGCTTCTTTGTGGGGAGGATCTGGTTTGGGGAAGCAGTGACATTGCGAGTAGGTGAGATTTGAATTGTAATAGGACAGGCGGCGGGAGATCGGTTTCTCTACAAATCTAATAGCGAGAAATCTTGGACAAGGCGCTTGGCGAGCTTGGCGCGCCTACCTGTTCATGAGTTTTGGCATGGTGTTGGGGCATTGGGCAGGAGAGGGAGGATATGCTTGCTTAATGCTGAATCCTTCATTGGACGGAAACATATAGGCACGGTTCAAACCAAATTTCAATCTCGACCCTATCGACCTATTCTAATAATAGAGTACTGAATTTAAGCTTCATTCTGCTTTAAAGCGGCAGCCCAGAGATATTCTGCCACATGCAAGTACTCTTAGCGACTGTCAGACAGTGACGATCCTCGAAAGTCAAAGAGACATCAATCATGAATACAGTCCCTTTTCTCATGCCTCTAACCGAGTGATTTGCTCCTCAAAAGAAGATTAGCAAGTCCTTGAGACGGCCATGGCGATAGGCATCCCGAAGATGATAGTCGTAACCACTTACTCTGAATCTTCTTTCTTCATCGGAAAAGACCCCGAAATACGGGTCTCCGAATAAGTGCATCCCTAGTCATAGTGGGCCAATAACAGCCACTGCTTCGGAAACCCCCCGGAAGGCAATCTGTATCCTGGGTCTTTGGAAAGCAAACCTAGGTCACCGTTCCCTGCCTTCTTCTTTCAAGACGGAATGGGAGTTCACGGACAGGTCTGAGGAAAGAAGGTCACCAAAAGAGGTTCGGAGAAAAAGCGGAGCACGGACCGCCCGTGACGGTGTGACCTGAGGAGCGGAGCGGCATCGGCTAACTTTGCCACGCGCTAAAACCTGCCGGGGCTTCCTCGGCTCTCAAGATGGCGGCTGGGGTGATTGCAAGGAGGCACGGAAGCTATGAGCAGAGCACGGAGCAACTTCTGTAGCTCAACGACGGGTTAATTATCAAATGCTCGGTGACGAATTTGCTCTATGCACTACACATGGTCAATTAAAAGCTTATGTAAAAGGTACATCTTGTTGCTGTTCACTTACGTACCCTTCACGCCTCGCCCCCCCAGTGCATGCTTTTTTCCCCACCGCGGAAAATAACAAGCTCTGCGGATTGACGCCATCTATTTTTATAGTCAGCCTTCCCAAATCGCGCATTGGAACGCTTAGAATGCTTGGATCCCAGCATGCACAATTAAACTTACGAGGGGCTGGCCCGGCCGGACTTTGCAGAGGAAGCTGCATTGAAGGGATCCTACTGCACCCACCTTCCTTTTTTGGACCGCTAAATCTTGGCTGGATCTTCGGCAGGCACACCTTGTCAGAAGGGTTAAGGCGGTGCGACATTCACGCCTGCAGACTCACGACGGAAAAATGTGGAGATAACCACAATCTGGGAATGTATAGGGTTGGTCCCTATCCCCGACCATGTCCGACCATCGTAGCAGGCCCACTTTCGACGCTCATGCCTCCGAGAATGAGGGGGCCGGCGAAAGGAAGCCTGCCACGATTAACGTTCGTTTTGGGTCGCGGGCATAGCTGTCAGCTCTGTCAGCTTCCTAAATCGTGCAGAAACCTCCATCGTGCAAGAGCGACGGATTCTTAGCGCCTCTTGTTAAAAAGGACTCGATTCCTGTATTACGATGTCTTCCTTCCTCGCTATCTTCCCTCTACCATCTTCCTACCAGTATAACCTTTTCCGTAGCTGTTACTCTCGTTTTCACACAGCATGTTTACCAAGCATACTCTTCCGGCGGCAAGCCTATGGCTCTCGCTCACTCTTTCCACCTTCGCCGCCATACACGAGCAATTGGCCACCATCCCTCTTGGATGGACGCAAGTTGGGGCTCCCGCTGAAAACGATACCATGATCCTGCAGATTGCCTTGGCACAACAAAATCTCGATCAATTGGACGCCAAGATCATGGCTGTCTCCACCCCTGGCAGTGCTTCTTACGGGCAATATATGGACGGCGATGCTGTCGCTGCTATGCTCGCGCCATCAGCTGATGCGAGTCCTGCGGTCTTGGCTTGGCTGAAAGGGGCTGGTGTCACCAACGCATACAGTGATGGCGCAAATGTGAACTTCTCAACTACAGTCAACCTGGCGAATAGTCTTCTCAGCACCACATTCAGTTACTATGAAAATGCCGGCATTCAGAAGCTGCGGACGATGGGATACTCCGTTCCGGACGACCTCCAGACTCACATCGATCTCATCACGCCTACTACGTACTTCGGAAAAACAGTACCTCAGATTCCGGTACCAAAAATGGTTCCCCGGGCGGGGAAACTTTCTCCCCGCTACTTCAATGGTAGCACCAATAGTACCACCAATGATACTATCGATGCTAGCTGTGTTACTTTGATCACGCCAACCTGTCTCAAAGAGCTATATAACATCAACTATACGCCTGATCCCAAATCCGGAAGCAAGATTGGGTTTGGAAGTTTCCTGAATCAATCTGCTCGCACGCAAGATCTTTCTCTTTTCCAGACAGCGCAAGACATTCCTCAGCAAGGATTCTCCGTTCAGCTCATCAATGGAGGTATCAATGATCAAGCCATCGACGACAACCATGGAGAAGCCGATCTTGATGTCGAGTACATAAGTGGAATTAGCCACCCGCTTCCAATTATCAGCTTCATCACTGGAGGATCACCGTCAGTCTCATAACAAATGGCGTTCAGGATGAGCAGTAGCATGCTGATGTTGATCTAGCCCTTTCATCCCCAATTTGGATGAGCCGACTGCTGCAGACAACGAAAACGAGCCGTATCTCAATTACTACCAGTACCTGCTTTCCCAACCAAATAGCGCGCTGCCAAACGTCATTACCAACTCCTATGGAGATGACGAGCAAGTAAGCAGTCTATTTCGGTTTCCCGCCAATCTGTTTGTTCGCTAACACGATTGCGCAGACTGTGCCGGAGAAATACGCCAAGCGAGTTTGCTACATGATTGGCCAACTAGGTCTAAGAGGGATCTCCGTTCTCGAATCTGCAGGTGATACGGGTACGTGGACCATCATTCGAGATGCCATTCCATCATGATCCCGACCAAGATCATCCACTAACCCACTCCGCAGGCGTCGGTGCACCCTGTCAATCCAACGACGGCAAAAAGACACCACAGTTTACGCCTCAATTCCCAGGCACATGTCCTTACATCACCGCAGTCGGCGGTACTCAATCGATCGAGCCCGAGATCGCCTGGGTCGCCGGCTCCGGAGGCTTCAGCAATTACTTCCCTCGCCCTGAGTACCAAGCAGCCGCGGTATCCACCTACCTGAATGACCACATCAGCGCAGCTACCAAAGAATACTTCAGCGCTTTCACCAACTTCGCCAATCGCGGGTTTCCAGATGTTTCGGCCCATAGCTTGACCCCTGAGTACGTCCTTTTTGCTTGCTTTTCCCACTTCCCCCTCTTGTAACTGGCGCGGTTTCCGAACACATTCCACCGCTAAATATAGTGCCATTACAGCTACGCCGTAGTAGTCAACGCAGCAGCCGGTCTCTCCGGTGGCACCTCGGCCGCAGCCCCTGTCTTCTCCTCCGTTATCGCCCTTCTCAACGACGCCCGCTTCAGAGCCGGAAAGCCACCCCTTGGTTTCCTCAACCCATGGCGTAAGTACATATCCTTGAAGGAGACACCTCTATTCCATCACACGAGGACGTGAAACGCTGACACCCTTATCTTCAGTCTACGCAATCGGCTTCACAGGCCTCACAGACATCACCGGTGGTCAAAGCGTCGGCTGCAACGGCATCAATGGCCAAACGGGGGCGCCGGTCCCAGGGGGCAGCATCATCCCGTACGCGAGCTGGAACGCAACGGAAGGGTGGGATCCGGTCACGGGACTAGGCGTGCCGAATTTCGAGAAGTTGTTGGCTCTGGCGCTGAACTTTTAGCGGAGTTGGCATGATTGGTAAATAACGTTGAATGGCTAATCCTGGGTAACAACGCATTAATGACATGGGAGGTTTGTGTGTTTGCGTAAATACATGATGTACTAGTTAACTAATTAGTTGGATGAGAGTGTACAAACCTAGACAGTGATGCTGCTGGCGCTTCAATGAGTAAATAAAGCTGGCTATTCTATGCATGTTGGGGGATACCACTGATATTCAGAACTACTATATAAGTAATGCGCGGTGAGAGTGTCTCTCTTACTCGTTCAACGATCCCCATCTCCGCGCTCAGTGTTCTCATTCTCACGCATCACACATACACACACACATGGGGCACACATGGTCTGTGAACGATCAATTACACCCGTCCCCGACGCCGAGACAACAGCGGAATGGAAGCCCGAAGAGACATATCCGTACCCCCCGAACAGACATATCCGTACCCCAGCGTTGAGAATACTCCGTGCTTATCGGATCTCGAATCTGGTAGTTTTCTGTGTACTAGTATAGGGATATTGAATTTGATAGCTATCTGTATATAGGGATATTGAATCTGAAAGCTATCTATATATAGGGATATTGAATTTGGTAGCTATCTGTGTATAGGGATATTGAATCTGGATGCTATCTGTGTATCAGTACAGGGATATTAAACCTGATAGCTATCTGTGTATTAGTATAGGGATATTGAACTTAATAGCTATCTGTGTATTAGTATAGGGATATTGAATTTAATAGCTATCTGTATATAGAGACATTGAACCTGGTAGCTATCTGTGTATAGGGACATTGAACCTGGTAGCTGTCTGTATACAGGGATATAGAATCTGGAAGCTATCTGTATATAGGGATATTGAACGTGGAAGCTATTTGTATATAGGGACATAGAACCTGGAAGCTATCTGTGTATAGGGACATTGAACTTGATAGCTATCTGTGTATAGGGACATTGAACCTGGAAGGTATCTGTATATAGGGATATTGAATGTGATAGCTATCTGTGTACAGGGACGTAGAACCTGGATGCTGTCTGTGTATAGGGACATTAAACCTAATAGCTATCTGTGTATAGAGACATTGAATCTGGTAGCTATCTGTGTATAGGGACGTAGAACCTGGTAGCTATCTGTGTACGGGGATATAGAATCTGGTAACTATCTGTATACAGGGATATAGAATCTGGTAACTATCTGTATACAGGGATATTGAACCTGGAAGCTATCTGTATACAGGGACATTGAACCTGGAAGCTATCTGTGTATAGGGATATTGAATCTGATAGCTATTTGTATACAGGGGGCACTCGAGTTCGGGAAGCTAATTTCGTTGTTTTTCGGACGAGACGGGTTGGAAGAGTCGTATCATCTACTTTTCCACCGAGGGAGCTGGGTATGTGTGCGTGAAAAGGGGGTTTGTTGCGTTATGATGCCTGCAGGAGGGGCTCAGAGGATACCTTGGCATAACCTGCTATTTGCACGTCTAGTTCAGATACAACAGTAACGGAGCCATGCACACAGACGTGCAGACGGGCGCGCATGGGGGTGTTGATGTAACGCTTTGCATATTGCATAAGAGCATCCAACGCAGTGGCTGTTCACCTCTCAGAGCCGAAGAACTGATCATATCATACCGGGCAAAATACAAAAGGAGGCGGCGATGACAGGCAAAAGACAATTCTCTTCAGACAAATGGTCTTTGTGGGCACGCTGTTCGCTAACGCCGATTCCACGTGGCATGGTCTTCGCGCTTGGTAATTGGGGATGATTTTTGCCTTCTCAATCCGAAAGCGCCGGCGCCACCAACCTAGCCTCATGCCACTCTCTTCGAGAGACCATCGACGGGCATCTCTTCCTATTAGAGCAGCCCACTCCATGGCTCTCTGTGCCTGTACGGCTTCATGATGTCCTTTAGGTATGCTTCGAGCGTGCATCTCGTAATCTGGGGCATATCCTGAAGCCTGGCCTCCATCGCGTCAACCTGTCCATCGGCGCCTTCGTGGCCACGCTGTAGGCAGAGGACCACGCGGAATTCTTTTGCTGCTTGGATATCGTTACGTTCGGCGACCAATGCTAAGCCTCTGTTGTAGTAGATCCTGCTGTAGTCGTGGCTCCTTAGGCCAGTAGATTGGGCGTTTTGGATGGTTATATCGAGCAATTTTCGAGCCCTCTTTGGGATACCCGCCTTCGTCAAGCAGTTGGCGCATTCAGTGGAGAAGTTGATCAGCTTGCCCTTCAATTCTGCAATGCTTCGGGGGTTCGCGCCGCTCAGATGCTTGGTCCAGCTTTGGCTAAAAAAGGACTGCAGTAAAGCCCAGCCGGCCAGATAGATATCTGCGGCGTCCAGCAAATGCCTACGAGCTAGCTGGAGATCCCCGCGCTCTTTGTACCTGTCAGCTCTCTCTGAAAACTCTTGAATATGTCGTATCGGTCTTTTCATGTGGGCAAGCAGCTCTGCATACACAGCGAAGGAGTAAAATCCAGAGATCGTGATCTGCCCCATGCCTCGTATGTCGCGGCAACAATCTAAGAGTACGTCATGGGTACGTGGATTTAGCATTGCTTGCGCATCGAAATGTAGGTTGATTCCAGGGTAACGAGTGGGAGGAATATCAACGAAGAAAAAGTGCACGTCCTGCTGGGTAATGAGCATCATGATCTTGTCCCTTCGAGGGAGAAACCCTCCGTCCCTCAGTTCTATCCGTAGAACTGGTGTGCCAGGGAAACGTTCCAAGTGCTGCATCGAGACCCATGGATACAACATCTGACGGAAATCTTGGAGGAGCCCACTGCTCTTACCCAAAAAATTCTCACCCTCATCCGCTGTCAACAAAACCCAATTTGTCTCCTTGTAGAGGACCTTCGATGCTTCTTCGTGCACTTGTTTGCTGGCTCGGAGGATCATGGGCTGGAGCGAATAAGGGCTCTCAGCTCTACCCTTCGAGGCTGTGGTCGCGCGGCTGATCCGACATTTGTCAGGAAGGAGCAGCTCGCGGTAGATCCTATCACGAAGCTCTTGGGGCAAGTTCATGGCCCGGAAAGGCTTTAAGGTCTCCGTATCCGGATCCTGGGGTGGCGTCGTGCCTTTCAACATGTCAGGGCTGGCTGCATTCAGAGCAGTGTACCCATTCATGCGTGGTCAGGATCCAGCTCACCTTTGATCGTGCCTGGATCAAGGTGAAGTTCGAGCTGACTTTCCGACTTATCGGAACTCATCTCGAACTCCGAGGTAGGTACTGGTAATGATGCGTTAGAAGAATCGGTGTGCATTAATCTGGTAGCTGATGCTTGTGAATGATTTCACGATCGGAAAACATGTGCTTTGTTGATGTTGACTTGTATTAAAGTAAAGGCGATGATGGGGAAAGAGCAAGCATACTAGTGTTGCGGAAAAGCCGCGGCTAGTCAGATGTGCTGATGTAAATACTGCAACTTATCTGGCTCCCTAAGCTCCCCGATTGCCATTTAGCTTCTAGAATGGCACCGCTATGATTATTCGTCCAATGCCTTTCCAAAGAGATATTCAAGATCGTTGCCTAAAGCGCGAGGGATAAGATAATTGAGGTTCTTGGAGCCTCTGCCTAGCCCTTTCTCAATACCAGTTCATACTGATCAGTATTCAGGTTCCTATTGTCATGCTCGAGCCAGAAGTCCGTTTAATCGGCAGCCAAGAGCCATTTGATCCACAGGCCAGGACGTTGGCAGCTGCGAATGGCGATGAACTGGAACCATCACCACTGCCGTCCAAGCGCACTCTTAATAACAGCAACCTCCCCATAGTGCGGACAGAGAAACGTGCCGTCATCCATCACCCGACACAAGTCCAACGTTTCAGCATTGAGCCAGTCTCTTGGTATGAACAAGTGCCTCTCCAAGCCCACGCTCTCGCTTGCAGAGCCAATTCGCCAAGTACAGACCCCTGAGTCGTTGTCAAGATACACCATCCTTTGCCCAGGGAGGATCCCCAGCGGCTTCCGGATGCATGAAAAAGTGCTTGGGGGAATATCAATGATCGAGACCGTTTCTTCGTCCGTCGGGCGTCCTGGGATCAGGGGCCGATTTTTGATGAATACGAAGTTCGACTGCGTGAGGAAGCCCAGGGAAGCCCGAGTGGTGTGTAGCATAATGTATTTCCTGTCCTGGCAAAGGACCACGTTCTCAACTGCCAAAACAATTTCGATTTGGCTCATACCGGCGGGAGAAGATCGTCTGACTGAACGCTGGCTCTCCTCGTGATCGCTCGAGATGCTCAGTATGGGCGGCGTGCTATCGAACCGGATGTCCTTAAGATATCTCCTCCCTTCCAGGTCCGGATGGTTGCATTGCTCACATCAAAGTCAAGAAATTGTTGGTCATTTTGTGGGTCTTCCTTTGGATTGTTCATGAACCATCTGTCAGTCCTATTCCGCACACCTCCAAAATTTTCGAGACAATTGCCGCCATGCACATCCCAGATTTTCTCCGAAGAAACACCGGCAATCAAGAAAAACTTGGAGTCGGGACTGAAGAGGAGCTGATGCACTCCATCCGTGCTCTTGATCTCTCGTACCAACTCCACTTGGAAGGGCGTTGACCGTGACCTGCCTTTTGTGACTTGGAAGATCCCTACCTCACCACCGATCTCGGAGTAGGCAATGAATTGCCACACTGGCTGAACTCAATTAGGTCAGTAGTCAAAAAGCGTCGTTGAAGATGTGTCTCCATGTTGCTGCCTAGAACGTCGAACAGTTCTAGAACGCCAACCTCATTGCCTGCACAATACAAGGACTGCTCCGAGTTGGCAGCCAGTGCAGTGACCAGGTCCGCAGTCTCAGCCCATACCTCGGAGGCTGAAGAAGTCTGTGTGGTGCTCCCTGCCTCGCTTTCTTTTTCGCTCGCTCGCTCGTCGATCTCGGTAAGTTGGATGAGGACGTTAGGCTCCCAACATTGCAGGCCGAACCGCTAAGGTCGTAAAAGCGCCCATGGTCCGGACTAAAGCAGAGACCGGTGATGCCTGGCTCACAGGATAATTGATAGATGAACGCGAAATGCTGATAATTCCAGACTTTGATAATACCAGTGATGTCGCTGGTGATGAAGAGCGCTCCGTTGGGGGAAAACTCGAATTTGGAAGCTCGGACTCGCACTTCTTGGCTACTACCTTCAGATGGACTCCATTTGAACACGCATCCCTCGTTATAGAGGCCAAAGAATTCGCCCTGCCTTGGATTTGGATGCCATAGAACCCTATCGACACCAGCCCAAGCATCGGTAAGGGCTTTCCAGTCGGTAACACGCCTGCATCTGGCAACAGGTCGTGCTTCTGACATGCTCCAAACAGATAAAGGATAGCCTCGGTAAGCTACAGCGACCTCTGACCTATTTGGACTGAATGCTACGTACCGTGGAGCGTTGGCATTAATCCCTGAAATTGGTGTTTCCAACGCGAGAAGGTGGTGATTGACCAATTGCCATCCTGGCTTCGAATTTTGGAGGTCCAGCTTCCGTATAGTCTTGTCATCGCCACCAAGCAGAACAGCTGTATCATTGTCAGTGAAGCTGAGTGCAAGAGCTTTACAATCTTGCGGATTTGGAACGGAAAATTTGAGTCGTCCTAGTGCGATCGACTACACTTTTGTTGAGTGGTAGTCATACGTGACCAATATTTCGCACGCGATGTTGGGTGCTATCTCGAAAAAGCATTCGCCATGATGGAGATGTCGTATCTCCCTCAAACTCAATGCGTCACACAGAATGATGATTCCAGACGTGGTCAGGACGCAAATGTAATAAGTGACACACTCTATCTGCAAGGCCTGGAGTCATGCCCCAAGGGAAAACTTGGCCAAACAATCATCCCAAGGTGGATCAGTCAAGCCTGTCACTGTCAGAGAAAAGGACTGATCCTTCTTCCCGTGTCGTCGATAAAGTACGGATTCCTTTGGGCAGAATGGTGGTATAAGCTTGTAGATAGCACTCGGTTCCTGGCTTAGATTTCGAACAAACTTCGCGAAGACTTTGAGAAGGTCTGCAGCCCAGGAGTCAAGAAGCTCTAAATCCTCGATGCACTCCTTGTGGGGGACATCGTCTGCATGCATCTTACGTTTCTTGCTGGCGAACGCGTGCAAATACTCTGATGCTTGGACTAAGATCTTCAATTGGTCGAAATATGCGAGGGCGTGGATCCACGTGAGGACGTAAGAACCGCGAAAGAACTTGGCTAAGAGCGGTAAAAGAGACGTGGAGGATGGTAGGCTCAAGCGGCTCAAGTCGAGGTGGTAGGGCCAGCATGTTGTTGCATATTGTAGAAATGATGAGGCAGTTAGCGCTGCAGTCTGTCCTAAGTTCGCTTTCAAGTGCGGATCTAGAAGGTACACGAGCGACCTAGTAAACAGCTGCCTATGAGCTTCAAGCGCAGTGATGGAAAATTCGAGGTCTGGAGTTTTGAGAAGGTAGTCACGAGCTGTCTGATGAACCATGGCCACGTGGGAGCTGCCGTCAATGACAACAAATTGTCCGCAAACCTCTCCAATAGCATGACGAAGGTCCAGAACCGCCGGAAATTCTGCTTCCAGTGCTTGCGAGAGCTCAAGAAGAGTCATAGCGCGTCTCGCGCAAGCTGCCCAAGTCAAGATATGCTTGGCCAAATCCTTGTCCCCTCTCTAAGGTCTCGGGCTATGTTCATTTCCATACGTTGGTAGAGCGGCTCCATTCCCGAGGGTATCTCGTTCAGGGTTTTCTCAACTGCTTCCTCGGTGAAGCACTTCATAATCTCTTGCATGGCCAGGTAACCCATAAAAATTTCCCGGAAGCTCTTTGGAGAACTGTCTTCAGCACTCTCTGCTTGAAAGTCTCGGTGCCGCGCAGATACCGGAGCTCTTTGCGCACGAAATAGTGGATGTCGCTCTCCTGGGCTTCGACCGCTTTACCCCGGAAGTTGACGACGCCTTCAATGCGATCAAAGGCCAGGGAGAGAATCTCCGTGTACCGGCTAAGCAGAAGAAGATGTACAGGAATGGCAGCCTTCGAAATCCCAGCAAAGATTTTCAACAAAGTCTGGTAAGGATCTGACTCGTCCAAAGCATCGACGACCCAGTACAAAGGTACCTGCAGATCCATCTTAAACAGACTTCTCAGAAAGACTCTGTTCCATATAGTTCGAGCATCAGACTTCTCCAGCCTCACGCCATGGTCGTGGAGGTCACTGAGTTTTCTCCTGAAGTCTGGCAGCTGCTGCGACATTTGATACGCAAGTGATCGTAGGAGAGCATTTGGTGAGCGTTTGGTCTGGTCTCCAAACCGGAAGAAAAAGTAGCTGCAGGGCATGTCCAGGGACTCGAGGTACTCGAAGATGAAAGTTGAGAGAACTGATTTTCCGCTGGCTGAATGGCCATATAGCCAGAGGATCTTAGAACTCGATGTGTGTTCTACCCAGTCCTTGAAAAAGAAATCGTATTTGATCCAATCACATGTGCCAGTCAGCCATCGATCGTGAAAAAAGTCGAAATCGTCTTTCGGGCCTTCAGTAAGCGCTAAAAGTGTTTGGATCTTTTTGGGGTCCTCTGGAGAGCCATTGCGGATGACATTTGACTCTACGTATGGTAAGCTGTGCGCTTCAACTTGACGTATGTCCACTAGCTAGCCTCGCGAAAGCGTCCTACAAGGGTGCTCAAGACGTTTCGAACGCCGACATAGTCGGGGTCTTGTCGATCGGAGAACTTGCATACACCGTGATGATCTGCAATCAGAGATTTCGAGACATTTCTCGGATAACCAAGGATCGACGTCTCTTTGTTGAGAACAAGCTACCATATGTTGCATTAGCTGTTATCTATTCGAGTATGAGCCAACGATACTGACCAGCCCTGGATGTGTCTGCTTAGTCTCATAGAATGAGTAGATGTGCAATTTCGGGGCTATACAGCTATGGAGCTTCGGCATAAAACCAAACCGCGCGGATCATTGCGGAACTTACAGACAAAAGCGAAAAACGCTTCTTTGTCAAGCTAAATCACCAAAACATCGCAGTGTCTGGTCCAGACCCATGATCAGAGAACAATGGTGATTATACTTAGTGCCACGAAGGTGAACGAGGCAAGGCGATGGTCGTAGGAGAGTACGAGTCGGAGCTCGATATCCATCGCAGTATGCCAGATTTCATATCCAAACCGTACAAATGGGGATAATGCAAGAAGACTTTGCCTCCAACATATTTCATACTCAAGGACTTTTGTGACATGAGCACGCATCTTCCAGAGCCCACCCAATTCTGCGCGAAGCTAGCAAAGTTACACGCTTCCACTTATTCACCAACCGGCAAGTTTGGCTATCATGTAGCTCGGGATATGGCGAAGGGAAAACGTCAGATTCAGATCGAAGACGTACCTGAGGCAATACCTGCGGAATTTTGGGCTGTCGGAACCGGCTGACGAATTCGACGATCGCAATCGCCTATACTGCCTTCCACACCCGGCCAGGCTCGTATGTCCGAGAGAAATATGTTGGAGAGCATATCGAGCAGGATTTTCATTGCTGATCGTATGTAGGGCCCTCGAAGATATGCTCTTCCTCATCAACAAGTATAGTCCTGAGGAGACGGCCACAGGGTCGGATTTGACGTCTGCGAGGGACCTCCCATAGGAAATAAAACCACTTGTGAGCGTCCTATTCAAGGCGTGCTTGCTCAGTCGTATTGATGCCTCAAGATACCAACCCGCCCGGAACTTGGGTATGGCTCCCAAGCGAACGGTCGATTAGTGAGACATGGAACGTCTGCTAGCTAACGACATTGCTCCGGTCTACCACAGAGCATGCAGCTCAAATCGGTCCTCAGAATTTGGGGTGTCACGAGAAACCACTCTTGCTCTATGGGGCGGAGCAGCCAGTACCAGGTAGAACGTTGGGGCAGAGCGCACGCGTAAAGAGATTTTTTTGTTCGCTCTCTCTCATGTCGAGTCTGTAGGGCACACGGACAACGGAGCATCTTGGGGTGACGATGTAACCGAAGAGCGCTCGCACACCCCCCAATGGCACGTCTTCGAGGCAATCGACGTCTTTTCACCGGGTGATCTCGTGACGTCAGATCAGAAAGCTAAGATTAATAGAAGCCCAAGTTCAATTCAGGACCAACAGGATTGATATCCCCGTAGAAAACATACTGAATGTGCATATACTGTAAGGACCCATATAATATGACTTCGATATGACTTCAATTTTAGGCAGATTATGACGATCAGATACACGACTTATAGGGCTGACTAGGCTTCGCTGACCAAATTTCCATTCCACTCAGATTTGTGTCCCTAATGAGACTCAATTGTATGTTCATTTTGAGAGCAAGTAATTATTTCAGTACTCGGCTCATGGGACTGTTCTCCATGGCGCGTAGAGGATAAGGGGTAGAAATGTGCCAGTCCTTATGCAAAACGAAGTGCTCAGCTTCAGGGCCAAGTAGATTAAGGCTTTCGATCTCTTGTGAGCATGGTCGACGGCCACTTGGCTTCTCTGATAGAAATACAGCGCGGATCTTCACCATTTCCATTACAGAGTTCTCCGCTAATTTGAACCCTCCTATTCTAAAACCCTCCCCAGAAAAGCCCCTTCCAACCTTCCGACCTCTCTTCTGAAGGTCTCCACCTCCTTCCAACAGTCCAACGGCCTCCGATCATTCAGCCTCAGACATGCCACTACTTTTTCTTTTGCCTTATTGACTTCTTTATCTTTCATTATATCCTCTTTCAGCTGCCTCTCTTTTAGCTTACTCTTCAGCTTCTCAATCTCCTCTTGCACCTTCACTCTACTCAGATCCCTTGTCCTATCCCCTTCTGCCTTGGCTTTGTGATCCGGGCCACCCGAAGAAGACGTTTGGTCTGGGATAGTGGTCGAAGGGGTGTTGGTGCTTTCGGTAGTAGAATCGGGCGTAGAAGAGATGCGGGCTTCGAGATCCTTGAGCTCTTGGGTTGTCTCGGCGTCTAGACGGGCCAGCTCGGCGGCGACGCGGGACTGGATGTGCAGTTCTAGGTCTTTGGCACGGGTGCTGTCGGTTTCGGGACTGGCTTGGAGAGCATTGACGAGGTCTTGAGAGAAGCGGACCGGAGTTTCGCTGGAGTTGATTAGCGGTGGAATTCGCTGATGTTAGAAGTGCCACTATAGATTCTGACCTAGAGAAGACATGTTGGGTACTCGAAGGGGCTGGTTTTGAGGGACCCGAGCCCATGTCGTTGAAGGTGATGGAGAAAGGAACGCAGTACGCGAAGGACGGCGCGGAAGTTCACGAGAGCAGTAGTAGGTGTAAAGAGGGTTCTTGAACGCTATGTCAGGTCAATTGGGGATGTGGAGATGGTTGTGTGATTCAATTGAACTTATTAATGATTTGTGAAAGTTGGAAGAGCTCAAATTCGAGCTCCGAATTCCATAGGGCTGAAGCTCGAAGCTTTCTCCGCATTGATGTGAGGATACCTTTGATTGCTTCGTTGGACGAACATGCCCAAGCGCTGAATAAAGCTCTACACAACCGACTGTCAGAAATATAGAGCTTGAAGCACCGACAAAGCCGCGAGTCTTCCGCATTGCCCTGATCTTCAAGGCCTTCTACGAAGACTGGAACGCAGACTCCCACCTTCCCCGCAGTTTAGCAGAAGTAACACCGGCAGCTCCTCAATGAATTTGGGTCTCCTACGATAGGTCAGAAGAGTACAAGTGACTTACTTTGATTTTCCAGCCTAGCTGTGGAAGGTTTGCTCCATAGCAAAAGCGACTGGCTTCAATTGACAATTCCGCGCAGTTGGGGCAAAGGCCCGAAAGCCTCCTCCTTCAACAGCTTCCCCGCCATTTGTCTCCACAAACCGGCGCATTGGCGTTCCTCCGCTCCCACATCCCCCCCATCTTCGAGACCTCTTCCTCTGTGCCCGTCTTCTACTCATCCGCCGACTACAAGAAAGCCTTAAAGCTGTCCCGCAGATCCACTTGTACTACCGCCCAGCTCCTCTCCTTTGCGGTCCTGCTCGTGCTTGTCGCTCTTCAACTCTTCACACCAACACCATTACTACCACGGCAGTCTTCCGAAAACGATTTACCTCATCGAGACGTATCACAGCGGTGCCCGCCGCCAGTGTGTGAAAATCTCAGCATCTTCTCGGAGCCGTTACCTGTCTCTCGAGCGTACAAAATGTCTGTCCTCGAGGAAGCAAAGCGGGTGGCGGCGGAGTTCGAGTACTCATCGGAGGATCTGAATAGAGGAGTGAAGGCATTCATAAGCCAGATGGACGAAGGACTACAAAAGAAAGGGACGTCTATGAGCCAAATACCGACATACGTCACAGCTGTTCCCAATGGTACGGAAAAGGGTCTCTACTTGGCGGTTGACCTTGGCGGCACAAACTTCCGAGTCTGCTCCATACAGCTCCATGGCAACACTACATTCTCCCTCACGCAATCGAAAGTCGCGATCCCCCGAGAGCTGATGGTCGCCAAAACATCTCATGAGTTATTCTCCTTCCTGGCAAAGCAGATCGAGAACTTCCTCCGAACGCATCATAACGATCACTTCGAGGCACATGTCAAGCGAAGGAAAACCATGAGCTCAGGGGAAGGATTTAGAAATGAAGAGATATTCCAATTAGGGTTTACCTTCAGCTTTCCAGTCAACCAGATTGGCATCAATCGAGGGACACTGGCAAGGTGGACCAAGGGCTTTGACATTGACGATGCCATTGGGCAAGATGTCTGTGAGCTGCTTCAGATAGAGATTGATGCGCTTCATTTGCCGGTCAAAGTCGCAGCTTTAGTCAACGACACCGTAGGAACGCTAATGGCACGATCGTACACATCTCCCGGGAAGACAGGGACCCTCCTTGGTGCCATCTTCGGAACAGGAACCAACGGCGCCTATGTGGAAAAGCTCGACAAAGTCACCAAGCTCAAGTCAATGGTCGAAGGCGCAGACTATGACAAATCAACCGGCAATATGATTGTAAATACCGAATGGGGCTCGTTCGACAACCAAATGAGCGTCTTACCCAATACGCCCTACGATGAAGCACTCGACAAAGCGACCCCCAACCCCGGTATTCAAATGTTCGAAAAGCGTGTCTCGGGCATGTTCTTGGGCGAGATCTTGCGCAACACCATTCTCACACTAGTCAAGGACCCTAAGTGCCAACTTTTCAAAGACTCCAATTCATCCACCGACAATCTCCACTCCACGACTACCATAGCAGAGAACTCGGTACTCTATAAGCAATGGGGGGTTGACACCAGCTTCTTGAGCATAGTTGCAGCAGATGTCAGCCCGGGGCTGAAGGTCACGCGGCAGGAACTTAGCAAAGGATTTGGCGTCGATGCTGCGAGCACGGAGGACGCTGAGGCCATCAAGCTACTCGTCAACGCCATTGGGAAGCGCTCTGCCAGGCTTAGCGCGGTAGCACTCGGTGCTATTGTGATTTCGACAGACAATCATGTTTCCACAGGTGGTGGGGATGATGATGTGGTGGACATTGGTGTTGATGGCAGCTTGGTGGAGTACTATCCAGGGTTTGAAGATTATGTCAGGGAAGCATTCCGGGAGATGCCTGAGATTGGTGCGCAAGGTGAGAGGAGGATTCGGATTGGTATTGCAAAAGATGGGAGTGGAGTTGGTGCTGCCTTGATTGCTTTGGTGGCGGCGCACATGGGTGGTGACTAAAAGGATAGCACGTCGCTCTCGGGCACATGTGAGAGACAAGCTGAAAGAGGAGGGAAGAGGAGAGCTTTTGTTTGATGTGACTTGCCTACCCTGTCGATTGGGCTTTGTATTAAAGCATTTGGATTGTGTCTCTATTACCACATATACGACTGCAAATATGTACACATCTCCTATACAAAATTCATACACAGTTCGTGATATTTACCCAGGAAGCAAAGTTAGCAAAGTGCCTTACCCTTAGTACCTTCAGTGGAGAGGTTTTTATCTGATAAGGAGAAAAGGCGCTAATTACAACGTGCAGCACTAGCTCGTTTCGAATACGGGCTGTCAAGCGCCTCCTATTAAACGTTATTTCCCAACTATAAAGTATTATGTATGCGACAAGCTACGTTACACAAACTACAGAAAAACCCAACCTTCGATTCAGATATTCAGACATTGTACAACGTTCAATTGCTTTCAAAGGGACAATCAGTTGCATCTACTGATACGAGATGATTATTGGAGCCACGATACCACCCGCCCGCGGCTGAGTGCAGCTGAAGGATCCCGAACAGCGATAAAGTATCTCTCCACTTTTGACCTTCGACGACTTTCTCTTCACTCACGCATTATTTGACTGTACTACTTGGATATTGATGAACTTTTTCCTGACCTTATCATCTGTTTTGCCGACGTCCATTCTGCCATGATTCTTTGAAGCGCCTCGAATACCCTGCAAACTTCAGCCATTTGAGAAATATTGCGCATTGACCTTTCATCCAAACAAAAATGCTTAACCGCATGTCAAGCTCTGCGAGAAAGAGGGAATCTGTCAACATGACCGCCCCCAAAAACGCTGGCGAAACCTTCACCTTCTCCCCAGCCCCCGGAAACCTCGACCCCCACGCTCACACCCACTCCGATCAACCGCCCTACTTCGACCTGCGGAAATGCCCCTCAATGGCCTCCGTCATCTCCCTCCGCCGATACCTCTCGCTGACCCGAGATTTACCAAACGAAATCATCGACATCATTCTCGACCTCGCCGAATACTGGCCTCACACCTCGTCAATCCTCGACATGACGACGAGAGTCTACAGCGGCCACATGTGCTATGGCAGCTATCCAGCTCGGCCGCGGCAGAAACTGGGGAGGTTGCTGAGTACGCCGGAGAGTAGAAGGGAGTGGAAGGAGGATGGGTTTTTGATCCGGACGCCGCCCTTGGGCTGGCGCTGCATTGGTGATGCCGATTTATCCAACCGATGTGAAAGTAAACCGCCATCTACTCCCCCGCCAAAAGCGAAGTCCAAGCCCTTAATCCCCACCCCCCGCCCGCCAACTTGGCTGCCACCACGCGGTCTCCATCCCGCCCGCCGCGTCGTGTTCGAAATCCTGAGCCGAGAGGAAAGACTCGAGAATCCGCACCGGCAGGGCAGTACGTTCTGCTACGCGAATTCCAAAACCTCCTTCGACGCCACCATCGACACCATCTCCTTCCCCAAAACGACCAAGAAATCCATCACCCGCAGCATCGACCCCCTCCTCTGGACCGCCGAGGCCGCCACGAAAGACTGCCACCACCACCAACCCTCCGAGGTCTGCTACGCCATCCGCGCCAAATCCTCCAGATCCCCCCATCCTCCGTCCAAAACGTCGGAGCTCGAAAACCACTCTTCCGGCGTGACGAAGAACTACACCGCGCACAACAGGAAGTCGGTCCGCACGTGGCGCTACGACGGCGCCGAACGCTGCTACCTGCCGACCACCGACCGGGACTTTGGAAGCGAGAACGCGACGGAGTTTGTACAGGGGTTGCGGGAGGGCGACTGCGTCAGTCTGTGGGCGCGGGCGAGAAAGTGTGACGAGCACGTGAGGAGGCGGCGTCGGCAGGGGGAGCAGGGGCGGGCGTGGTGTAATGTCGTGGACCGGGTGGCGATTCATGTCTTTTGGGCTGTTTGACGGGGCGTGTGTGCTATCTACCTACCTACCTTTTTACTATATTCTGCTTTTTGTGTAAGTGTAAGCGAGAGAGAGAGAGAGAGAGAGAGAGAGAGCGAGAGGGAGAGAGAGAGAGAGAGAGAGAGAGAGTGTGTGTGTGTGTGTGTGTGAGTAGTCTGGGCGCATAAATCCCATCTAGAGCTGCTGGGTATCCGAATAGATCAACCAAATGATAGACACCATCCATCATCATCATCATCATCCCTACAACAATCACGGCAAACCCAGCATCCTCAGTATCCGCAGCTCAATCCCGAACCCATCCCAGCCTCTCAAAGCGTACAAAATGAACTTAAGCACACACATACACACACATACACCTATCATACACTCACACATACATACACATCGGCTAACAGAACACGCACCCCCACTCTCTCTCTCTCTCTCTTCCTCTCTTCAACTCTTCAACTCTATAACTCTACAACTCTACAACTCTACAAAAACCAACGCCACCCGTCGCCAAAGCCGCATTGATTTCCTCCGTCTCCAATCCCCGTATGCATGCATCGCATCCATCGCATCTCAGCTCGGCTCAGCCGGACTCGAAAGCCTAGATTAGATACTATACCTATGACCTCCTTCCTCAAGGTAGGATTGGTAATCTTTTTCCGCCGGTCTGGAATGACCTAACCCGGCAAGCATAGATGGGATAGATTTGTCCGTATAAGGTATGACTCGTAAAATGATCTGGATCGGGTTTTTATCGTGGGAGTTTTGAGCGCGTTGCTGATTTTATTTCTTCTTCTTCTTCGTCTTCGTCTTCGTCTTCGTCTTCGTCTTCGTCTTCGTCTTCGTCTTCGTCTTCGTCTTCTTCTTCTTCTCCTTCTTCTTCTTCTTCTTGTCAAATACCGCGTGGCACGAAGCCGACCTTCTGTACTCATCGCCTTCCCATCTCACATCCTAATCTAGGTCAGCATTCCCAGAACAGTCTAGGTTGAGACGGAGATGAGCTACTGCTCAAGACTCCTGCGACATCGTATTTGTTGCAGGAACGTTTGGACCGAGGAGAAGGAATGGGGTTGCACGATCCTACTTTGGACCCTCGTGTCGGGTCTATTGTAAGGTAGAATTGGATATGATGGTTCTTAGCCTACCATCGTACTGTTGTACCTACGGGGTTTCTGCGTGGGGCTGATGAGTCCGGATTGCTGGCCTTTGGCTTTGGGGGGCGGTGGTCGAGGTGGCAGGTGCTGCTTTTGCGGTCACAAGCACGAATCTTCTAGATTGAAATGTTATTTTCTTCCTTTGGTGAGTTTATCCTAAGTACAACCAGATCTAATAGTGGTGTATGGAACGGTGCATCGCAATGTAGGTGGTGGATGTTTCGTCATGAGGAGGTCAGGCAGACATACATCCTTGTGTAGCGGCAAATTCGATAGCGAGGCCCTTCAATTAGCAAAATTGCTGGGTCGTGTGAGAACATTGTTCATGTATAGCTAAAGCTGATGAGTACCACAATCACCCTGGAAGACCGCACTTGATCATTCCCCACCTTCAACAAATGCGCCCCTCACACCCCCTTCTTCGCACCCAAGGGCACCACAAATGGCCTCCTCTCAATGCCCATCCTCGGCTTACCATCACCCAACCCTATAAATCCCCCATACACAAATCTCCAATCTTCAGGCCATGGCTTATCCCTCACTTGTTCCTCGACCAGTCCACTGCCATTGAACAGCTCAAGCACACCAGCAATCGTCTCTGCCAATACGCTTTTCGGTATGGGTCGAGGCCGACGGCTATAGTACGCCACTACCACTGCGATGTTCAGCAACAGTAAGATGACCGTAACTACGAACATGGATGAGGACATGAAGACGCGGGTACAGGGTCCATGCAGTGTTCCTTCGACCGTGGCCCCTTGGGGTGCAGGGACGAAAGCAGAGGGCTGCAGACTGATGATTATGGGGAAAAGACGTGTGATTAGGTCTACGACGACAGGGGCGATTTTTTCAAAGTCTGGCGCCGGAAGCGTGGGGTCAATGAACCTTGGCGAGTTGGTAAGCGCTTTTATGAGAAAGCCGGCCCATGTGTCTCTAGTGTTATCGTTGTTCCAGTGAGGGTTTTTGTTGTTGAAGGGTGCGTCGAAGGCGACGAATAGATCGCTCAGGAACGAGGGAAGGGAGCTGCTGTTCGCTAAAGAGAGATTTGTAGAGATTTCACTCTTACGGACATAGTTTTCAACCCGGCCGTTGGTCGTGACCTCGACCTCGTACATGGCAGTAAACACAGTCGACTCGCAGGTCATCCAGGTGGAAGATGTGAACAGGCTATCAACGCCTTCGACCTCCGCGTAGAGTTCAGCTCTCAGGAAACCCATGGCGAGGGTACTGCCGCAGATATCTTGGTCGCCCTGGCTCGCGTTGGCAAAGCTCGGACCCAACGGCGCGAGTAGCTCCAGCGAGGCATTCGTCTTGCTGTGAGAATCGTAGAACGTATCCCACTGGCGAGTACAATATACATTGTTTTGATCCACAGAGATTTGGGGTTGGCCTATATCATTATTGGGCATAGTGATGTATGCTGGGTCAGCCCATGTTTGGTTTGTACAGACGACATTGAGGCCGAATCCAGGTGTAGTTGCCTTGTATGATTGGATGCTCTCTAACGGCGATGTCGTATTGATTTGGAAAGGGAGGAAATACAAATCTCGTGAAACCCAAGCAGGGAGAGAAGCTCCGTGGCTAAAGTTGGCCGCCGCGATGTAGAGGTGGTCGGAGCTGGATGTCTCGGAAGAAGTTTGATTGATCGACGGTAAGGAAGACTTCAAGAACGTTCCATCAGACGCGATGACCGTAAGGCGCGGCTGCAGCAAAGCGTTCAGAACAACAGCCAACACATTGGCAGAAAATCCAATTGCACAAACAGCCACGAGGAGAAAATGGCGAGCTTTTAATGCTCGCCAGATGGCCAACTGTGGGGGTAGCGACGTGTACCTGAGATCCATTGACTGAGAAGCTTTTGCTTCGCCACCTCTTAGTGCCTCAAAAGGTTTCAAAAGGCATAACTTCCTGTTA